GAGCGCGTCGCAGCCCGTCGCCGCGAGCCAGCTCGCGTCGCGGAGGCCCGCGTCGTAGAAGACGGGGCCGCCCGTGAGGTAGGCGGTCCAGAAGCTGAAGGTGCCCCAGGAGAACGTCGCCGCCTGCGCGCATGCGGCGCGTCGCGCGCGTCGCGGGGAGGAACGCCGGCGCCGCGCGTCCGCCTTGCTCAGGGCCGCCATGACGACCTCCGGGCTCGCGTCGTCGATGGCGACGACGTCGGCGCCCAGGACGTCGGCGACGGCCGCGGCGCCCTTGAACTGGTAGGACGACGCGACGTACGCCAAGCGCCGGCCCGGGTACAGCGCCTCGAACGCGGCGCGCGCGGCGCCGTAGAAGCCCGGGCCCGGGAGGCACTTGCGGTAGGCGAGCGAGTCGGCGGCGACGCGGTGGTAGAGCGACACGACGACGGCGTCGCGCCCCGCCGGGCCGCGGACCTCCGACTCCCAGAGCGCCGCGGCGCGCGCGGCGACGGACGGCTCCCAGGCGCCGAGCGCCGCGGCGACGTCGACGCCCTCCAAAATCTTCGCGTTCTGCCGGTTGCCGACGCACTGGAAGTCCGCGGCGTCCGCGTGGCCCCGGACCGCCCGGCGGACGCTCTTGCGGTCCTCGGGCCCCCACCAGGCCGCGGGCGGCCGCAGGCGCACCTGGTTTGGCTGCCGCGGCGCGCGGTCGCAGAGCACGGCCGACGACGTCGTGCGGAAGGCGCGGCACACGGCGGCGTTGGCCTTGAGGCCTACGGATGGGAAGACCTAGTGGCGCACGCGGCGCGAAGCCGCGACGCACAGAGGCCGTGCTCCGTCGCGATGGCGTAGCAGACGGCGAACTGGAAGATCTGGTTCCCGAGGCGGCCGTGGTTCGGCACGACGACGACCTTGCGCGAGCCGCACGCCGTCGCGTTGTCCATGGCTCGCTCCAGTGGCGCGAGCCGCAGGCCGGAGAGCAGCCCATGCGGGTCGCTGGGGACGTAGCGGTCCGTGACCATAATGAATTGCACGATGTTGATCTTTTATGTTGAGGAAGGCTGCCGACCTCGCGCGACGATGTCCGCCCATTCGCACAGCCCGCACGACCACGACCACGACGAGGCCGCGACGTGCTGCGGCGGCGACCACGGCCACGACCACGGCGCGGCCCACGACCGCGCCGCGAGCCACGGCGGCCACGGCCACAGCCACGAGCACCTGGACCATCCCGGCACCTACGCGGCGCGGGCGACGGGGTCGCCGGCGCTCTGGGCGACGCGGGCCTGGAGCGAGCGCGCCTTCACGGTGGGCATCGGCGGCCCCGTGGGCTCGGGGAAGACGGCGCTCACGCTGAAGCTCTGCGAGGAGCTCCGCGACGCGATCGCGCTCGGCGTCTGCACGAACGACATCTTCACGCGCGAGGACGCGGAGTTCCTCACGCGCAAGGGCGCGCTGCCCGCGGCGCGCATCCGCGCCGTCGAGACGGGCGGCTGCCCCCACGCGGCGATCCGCGAGGACGTGAGCGGCAACCTCGACGCGCTCGACAGGGCAGCACAAGAGAGCAAAATTCCCAACTTCAAAGGCTCCTTTCTCGGCCGTTTTCCACTGGTTTCGGCTGATTTCTGGACGAGCAATCATCTCTCGGAACGGTCTCGAAGCGTGGATGCTTTTTTCCGGAACGCGCGCGCGCGGAACACTCACGTTGAAGCGACGTTGAATCTCTCTTGTCCTGCCCAGGCGCTCGAGGACCTCACGCGGTCCGTGAAACCGGAGCTGCTCTTCTGCGAGTCCGGCGGCGACAACCTCGCGGCGAACTTCAGCTCGGAGCTCGCGGACTTCACGCTCTACGTCATCGACGTCGCCGGCGGCGACAAGGTGCCGCGCAAGGGCGGGCCGGGCATCACGCAGTCCGACGTCCTCGTGATCAACAAGACGGACCTCGCGGAGGCCGTGTCGTCGTCGCTCGAGGTCATGGACCGCGACGCGAAGAAGATGCGCGGCGACGGGCCCACGGTCTTCGCCGCCGTCAAGCACGGCCGGGGCGTCACGGAGATCGCCAAGGAGGTCCTCGCCGCGTGGGCCAAGGCCACGGGCCGCACCGTGCCCGCGCCCTGGGCTTGATGATGCTTCTTAAAGTTATGTGTGCGGGGGGATGTGCGCTAGTTGAACTCGGAGCAGACGCAGCCGCAGGCGTCCCGCGCCTTGACGCCCGCGGCGTCCTCGTACTTCTTGCACCGCGACTTCGACGCGCCCTTGTCGGACGCGAGCCACTCGCAGCCGTGCGAGTCCTTGACCTTGCCGCGCTTCGCCCGGCGCCAGTCCGCGTCGTCGCTGCAGGACGCCGACGAGTCGTCGTCGTCCGCCTCGTCGTCGTCGAA